ACTTTTAATAAATTACATGGCAAAGGCACCTTTGCAATTAAGGATTTTGAGATGAAAGACTAACCTAGATTATCCAAGTGGACCTAATCTATCACAGGAATTTTTAAAAGTTGGGAACCTTCCCTATCTATAGTCAGAGAAAGAGGTATAACTGCAAATTAGTTAGACAAAACATTGCTGGATTTGAAGGTGGAGAAAGGGGCCACAAGCCAAGGAATGTGGATACCTCCTAGAAGCTAGAAAAGACAAGAAAATAGATTCTTCCTTAGATCTTAGCCTAGTGAGATTATTGTAGGACTTCCAACCTATAGAAACTAAGATAATAAATTTCTGATATTTTATGCCATAAACTTGTAGTCATTTGTATTATTACAGCAAATAACAAAGGTAATGCAAATAGAAAATATGTAAAATGACTCATGAGAGGGATCATACACAGAACTCTCTAAATATTTACTGAATATATGAGGTCTGTCTAGAAAAAGTCCAGCCATTATTAATTTAATGAGAACAGTTTGTGTGACATCAATGTAACCTGGCAGCCAAGGAGAGTGGATTGAAATGTGCATGTGTGATCAATGATGACTTCACTGTAGTAGTCAGTGGGGGTGGTAGACACCACTGAGTGATCATGTGTACTGTGTGGCTGTCATATTTAAAATATCTGAGCAAGCAGAGCAACAAATCTGCATTAAATTTTGCATTAAGCTTAAACATTCCTCTACGAAAACTATTTGGATGATTCAAAGGCTGCAGCTGTGGGTAACTGGTGACTGGCAGCTTCATCACGACAACATGCCCACTTGTGGATTCCATCTCGTGCAGAGCTTTTGGTGAAACATCAAATCACCCAGGTGACTCAGCCCTCCCACACTCCAGATTTAACACATTGTGATTTCTGGCTTTTCCCCAAAACTAAAATCACTTTTGAAAGGGAAGAGATTTCAGACTGTCGATTAGATTCAGGAAAATATGACAGGAGAGTTGATAGTGATTGGGAGAACTGTGTGAGGTCCCCAGGTGCCTACTTTTATGGGACTGAGGCATCATTGTCCTATGCACCATGATTCTTGTACCTTGTATCTTCTTCAAATAATATCCCTATGTTTCATATAATGTGGCTGGATACCCCATGGACAGACCTTGTAGATGGTCATTCTATGATATAAGATATTAACAATCATTGAGAGTTAAAAATCTCTGGTTAAATGTCACCAATACAAAACTTACAGTTTGACCACTTAGGGTGATCAAACAACAGAACAGGTAAAAGAAACTGGAAGGGGGAGAGGGTATCAACACACCACTGCTGGCTTTGAAGATGAAGAAGGACACAAGGAATGTGGACAGCTTCCAGAAGCTGGGACCATCCCCTCAGATGAAAGCCTACAAGGAACTGAGGACATCAATGCAAGGAACAGAATTTGGTCAACCACTTGCATGAGCAAAACAACAGTAACAAAAACCAGATTCTTCTCTAGACCCTTTAAAAGAAACACAGACATGAAGACACTTGGATTTCAGCCCAGTGAGACCCGAGTTGGACTTCTGAGTGTAAGATAAACCACTGGTGTTGTTTTGAGCAGCTAACTTTGTGGTAAGCTGTTATGTAGTAAACTAAGATAAGGTCTGTTTCACTTTTTCCTTAAAGACTCAAATATATTGATTTAAGAAGTATATAATATGCTAAAGTAAATTTAACTTTTTAAAGCCAGCAATTTTAAACAATGTTAGGGGCATAAATCAATGTCTCCTTTACATATGTACAATATTATTAAATTCCTAAAAACCTAAAAGTTGCTAAAGGGCTTAAAAAAAAAGGCTTTAAGATGGCACTATAATTTTTCATCTTTTTCATATTTAAAGATAAATAAATATTCTAATTTCAATTTTTATTCTTTGTTTCTCATCATTAATGCATGAATAAATATACTTTGATTCTCTTTACTAATATATTTAAGCCCACAGCCAAATCCTAAAGACTTTCTTATTTCCATTTTATTTTTTCCATTACCACTTATGCCCCCATGCCCTCTTCCACCTCCACCCCTTCCCCCACCACAATCACCACACTGTTGTCCTTGTCCATGAGTTATCTTTTTATTCTTTTTTACTTCATCCCTCTACCCCCTCAAGGGACTTTTTCTTAACATGTAGGCAGGAATATATAAATTCTAGGTTTAAAGCAATTAATGTGTTGAATTTACATGGGTACAGCAATTAATCAAAGACAAAAATACACTTTGTTCTGGTCATTATCTATTTTTGCACTGTCTCTGAATTGATATTCATTAGCTCTCAGAGAGTAAGGTCCATGTCTGCATAATTCACAATTCTATCAACACAGTCTAGCAATATTTCTGGCCCCTAGCAGCTTTTGTTAAATAAATGAATGAAAAGTAAATATAAAGCAAATTCAAAAAATGGGACACAAAGCTTCCCTGAAACCTCAGCTTACTAGTTTACTGGAAATCTAAAAAGGCATTCTGTATTTAGAGATTAAATGATAAAAACCAGAACTTATTTTAAACATTTTCAAAAAAAATCTTAATGTTCTACATGTTTCATTATATTCTTAATTAGGTTCATTAAACATTAATTCAAATTTTGGGATGGCTTGGTATCTTTATTTTTATCAACAGATATTGTCATGTTCATGAATCATACGTAAGGCTCCATGAACTAGAACTTGCCTTCTGAAAATGTCAATCTTTTGAAGCTCCCCCCACCCCTTTTCATAAAAATTAAGTGAAGCACAGTGGAGCCTACCTGAGAAGTGTGAGATGGCTGCCTTTCTTCATAAATGCCAAGTGAGACTCAGTCTTCTTACTCCAGGTGAGCAATTGGTGATGTGCTGCAATAGGACATTTTGATCAATGACCACATATAGGGCAGTTGTCCCATATCATAATGAACTGAAACATTCTTATCGTCTAGTGGGGTTGTAATGCAACCAATTATCCATGTGTTTATGTTGATGCTGATATAAACAAACCTACTGTGCTGCCTGTCGTATAAAATTATAGCCCATACAATTATTTATTACTATTATTTATTTATTAGCACATATTACTGATAATAACAACTCTGGTACTGGTATGTATTTACTATATATACTTACTATAATTATTTTAGAGTAGACTCTTCCTACTTATTAGAAAATGTTTGCTGTAACACTGTGGCCATGCTATGCTGGAGGCAGCACCATACACCTCATTTACCAAGTCTCTCAACTGGTTTAAACATGTTTTTATTGATTTTTTTATTTATTGCTATTTTTTAATCCACACCTGAGGGTATGTTTATTATTTATTTATTTTTTTAGAGAGGAAGGGGGAGAGAAAAACTTCAATCACTTTTGCCAACCTTACACACCCCAACATGGACAGAACATGCAATCAAGGTATGTGCCCTGAGAATCAAACGGGCAACCATTTCATGTATGGGACAATGATCTAACCAGCTGAGCCACCCGGGCAGTGCTATTTATTGATTTTAGAGAGAGGAAGGGAGCAAAACTTCAATTTGTTCCTCCAACTCATTGCGGCATTGTCCCCTGTAGTTGATATGCCATATTTTGCTGTGTATAATGCACACTTACATTTTTGGCCCAACCTTTCAGGAAAAAATGTTTCGTTTTAATTTTTTAACTCAATTATTTACTTATATTTAGAAACAACACTGATTATTGTATTCCAGGGTATTATTTTGCATACAGATACCGGTATTGCTTTCTAGAGTTATACTTTGAACATATAAGAATAAAATAATTTAAAACATTTAACCCTGGCTGGTGTGGGAACCAAAGGTTCGCTGGTTTGACTCCCAGTCAAGACACATCTGGGTTGTGGGCCAAGCCCCCAGTGGGCGACGCATGAAAGGCAACCACACATTCCCTCTCTCCCCTTCCCTTCCAAAAATAAAATCACTTTTATTTTTAGTGATTTTTAAAAATCTTTTAAAAAGGAATTAGTACTACCCGTGTATAATGTCTATCCTTATTTTTCTTCAATGTGTGGAAGACAACAAAATTTCAGGCATGAATGATGTTAAACTATACATCTCTTATGGTAAAGACAAACTTAAACAGTATTAGAATTAAAGTTTTTTTTATCTTGCTCATGTTTCAAATTGAGTAACAACTGTTACATAATTTTAAAAGAGGAACAAAAATTTTCTTGTGACACTGGTTGTACAAAATAAGCTAACGATACAGTTGTCCTAAGACGGGGGGGGTGGAGAAATCAAAAGCTAAAAGGTTGTGTAGACCTACTATGTGCAGGCAGTTCTACCTAGCTCACCGAGCAGACCTCTCAAGGTGGCCATTGCCTTGCACACTATATGAGAAGGAGGCAGTGGCGATTCTAGCGCAAGCTACACAAAATTGCCGGGTGAACGCTCAAAATCTTGCCTCGGTTGCCCAGGGGTTGACGACCCGCAATGTTTCATATAGATGTGGTGTTTCTCTGACCAACCCTGCGGCCTGACTCAGTGCCCCAAGCCGGCTATAGCGCGTCCAGCCAGACCCGCAGGCCCTCAGTCTGCACCTGGCCACCGGCTTTCCCGAACCCGCAGCGATCTGCAAACCCATACGCAAGGCACGGGTACCCTGCCTACAGGCTGCCGCCCCACCCTAAGGGCTCCTCCACACGAAAACATCCTGCAGTAGACCCTCCACCCAAGGCGTGCGAAAAAGGAGCCCTGAATGCAAAAGCACCCGAACGCCACCCCGCGGTTCCGGTCTCTCGGCGGCAGCTGAAGTCCGGGAAAACCCAGGCCGAAGGAACTCGGCCCTGCAACTGCCCTTTGACCCCTGAGGCCTCCTCCCGGGCGGCCCAGACTTGGGGCAGGCGGGTTTGCGACTCTCCGGCCAATCAGATACGGTTTTTCTCCGACAGGCCTAATGACCAATCGTCGGGCGCCGTACATTCTTCGGCTCTTCGGCCCTTCGACATTTCGGCCCTTCGGCTTTTCGGCCCTTCGGCTCTTCCGCGTTCGCCATTGCTGGGCCTCCAGGGCCTTCCCGGACCTTCCTACTCGAGCCTAAGCGTAGTTCTTGTTGGTTTAATTTCCCGTATTTTTTCCAGGCACTTCCGGGTCCTGCGTCCCACCCCCCAGGAAGCCCGCAAGTTCCAGAAGCTTGGGTAGCTCTGGTTCTGCTAGGAAAAGCCAAGCATCCTAGAGAATGTTGCACAGAAAGTTCCGTGGAGTGGGACGTGTAAGGTCAGTGTCCACCCGAGGAGCCGTATTGCAACCCGAGGTCAGCCTTGCAGCTGGGAAGGCGTGTAGTTTCACCGCCTTGTCATGGTCGCCCTTTGCTTCATTTCCCCTGTCCCTTCGCTTCCTGACTTCCTGGAGGAGGCAAATCAGAGTATGAGTTTGGGAAAGGCAAGGAAGCAAACCTAAACTCCGGAAATTAGGCTTAGGGTCGCACCAGTAAAAGAAAGAAAGGGGGAGGGGAAAAAAAAAAAAAAAAACCCAGACGGAACTCGGTGCATTCCATGAAGTGAGTTTCTAGAGACAAACTTAAGTGTTTGCCCCGCGCTCGATGATTCCTGTAAGTTAACTTTTGAAGGGCTTCTCTATTATACAGGGTCCACACTTCACATCTTAGCAGTGGTTCCTGCATAGTGTTATATTTGGTACCAAAAAAAAAAAAAAAAACAAAAAACTGCTGAAGGTTCTAACAATTTTGAAAACCTGTGTACTTGAAAGCAGTTTTAATTTTCTTGTGGAGGAAGGGTTACCGAGAATTTTCCTAAAATTGCTTGTTATAAGTTCTTTATATTTATTGATTTCTAATAAGAAATATAAGAATCATTGTCATTTTTCCTCTGGGGCCTGGGGGCCTGAAGTTAAAAGTTATGTTTGTTCATTTCTTTAGGTTCCATTTTCCAAACATAAAACAATTTGTGGAAAAAAGGGCATTTCACAGAATGATACCAGTTGAACGTTTGGGTCTAACATGTTCCTTGATGGCCTTGGGAGTAAATTTTTGCCTTAACATTTAAAAGCAATTAAGGGGAGGCTGAGGCTTTATCCACACCACAGTTTGTAGTCTGAACACTTTCCCTTAATGTTTTACCTTTAGTTAAATCTCAATAGAATATAAACTTGGGATAATTGACTCGTCATTTTTCTCTTTCACTTGTATTCTCTCATCTGACCCGTTATCAATTACTTGTATACAGAAAGATTAGAGTTGAATGCTCGTAAACGAGAAGTAGATTTGAAAGAAGAGAGTGAATGGAATTATTTACAAAGTCAAAAAGAGAATCCTTCAATTTTTTTCTTTAAAGAAAAAGAAAACAGAAGCAAAATAAAAGTTACAGGACATAGTAGAGAGAATGTTACACTAAGTCAAGGAAATGGAGTTCCAGATCTGATTGGTTTTCCTTTGACCAACTCTACCTCTTGGCCTTATTCTCCTCATTTTCAGAAATTAGGGATAACACCCAATTTCTGGTTTTAAAACTGTTCCATGGAAAAGCTGTAGAAATTTCTTGGAGCTTTGTAGGGGAAAAGTAAAGCAAACATACCCTCAACAGCCATTTTATATATTTAGCTTGAAAAACAGGGTTTCTGTTAAGAAAATTAAGTTCATGTCTTAAATAGATAACGTGTGTTTCCTTCTAGCATTTAGATTGTTTCTTGGTATAGTTATTCACTTGTATTTAATGCGCACTTATTTATATTTTTAACAATTAACGATACATGTTCACAATTCATTACTAAAAGCCATAAACATGTCCCTATTCAATTTCACTTGTTTAATAGATACAGATTTCAAATTTAATTCTTTCTTTAGGGTCAGAATCATAATTCTTTCTCCCCCCCCCCCTTTTATTTTAGCCATAAAATTTTTACTTATATTCGAAGGTTGTAAGCACCTTTGCAATAGGAAGGCAGGTATTTTCATTTGACGTATTTGGTAGGTGAACCTCACAGATGTTAGCTGGCTTGCCCAGCATCACATCACTAGTGAAGTTCTTAGTCCTAGCTGTATGTTTTCCTCACAACATCACATGTACTTGGTTTCCATAGCACAAGGGAAATGTGTGCCATCCACACTGTCTTTCTGGACAAAAAGTTCTGCTCTGAATCACTCGCTCCTTTTTTTTCCTCCCTTAATTATCTGGATTGGGGAACCTAAAAGCATACTGGATGTTCCTTTTATCTCTTTCCTGTGAAATGACAGCAGTTTCTAAATGTCCCATGATCCTCTTCAATTCCTTCAGACTGCGGAAGAACCCTCCAGGAACAGAATCCCTGACTGCTTCTCTGGCCCCAGGTCTGTAATATTGGTGCTGCAAATGCTAGAGCTGTAATTCCCATACATGCAACTGGAGGCCTGGCGAGGGAATATGGGCACCCTTTGTCCCTTCCACTGTGGATTGTTAATCACTTCTCCCCAGCCTTTCCCATCTATACAACTAAATGCCCTTCCTGTATTTTTATTCTGTTCAATCTTTTCTTTTTATTGGAGCACCCCCTTCTTACCTGCCTGTCAGTAAGGTGAGATAAAATTTCATCTATGTGACTTTTCTGCTTACTTGTTAAAACATAACTTGTTAAAACATACTAATTTTGTTGTGATTATGCATAACCATTCCTTTCCACTGTTAGATGAGTTGGCATTGCCTCTGTTGCATTTAGTATGTGTTCCTAATCATTAAATGAATGTTCACGCCTCATTTTTGCACCCACATATTCTCTTTGTACAGATTTGGCAGTCTCAGACTGCTTCTCTGGCCACTTGTATAGAAGCAGGGAGAAGGAATGTGGATGACATGCAGCATGGGCAACTTAACCACGTTCCTGTCATTTCTTTTCTGATCTGCAGTCCTGAGAGTGACTAGCAGTCTGGTCTTGAGTGGGAAAAAAATCATGCTTTGAACTCTGTAGTACTGAGTTGGATCCAAGCTTACAAAATATCCATACTACTAACTTCCTTTTGTATGTTCCACAATTTCTCTAGTGTTGACCAGAAATATACTAATTGCCAGCTCGGTCTTAAACAGGTGAGTTACTGGTAATCTTCTCAAGCCTTAATTTTGGTCTTCTAAAATGGACATGATAATACTGTGTTATGAGAATTCAGTGAGATAAAGAATGTAAAGCACATAATATGTGCCATACCATATCTGCTCCTCTCCCATTGCTAAGATCTCCATTCTTCTGTAGATGTTTCCACATCTCTCTATTGTCATAAAATGTGCAATGAAATGCATGTTTCAGTTAATTTTCACTTCATTTAGAAGTTTCTTCTTTGGCCATTAGATCCTAGAGCCTTTCTCTAAATGTATAAAGTACTTAAAGATGGTTGCTTCGTGTTTCACATGGCTTATTTGTTCATCCTTGCATTGGCATTTTTGCTGTAGTTCATGCCTGTACTCTCAATCTCTTAGTACTCAGCCTCCCAAAACAGCCCCATCTGCATGTTCTGTGGTGTCATCCGAAAATGTCCATGTTCACCTTTCCTTTGTTGTTGATTTTTTAGGCCCATCACCACTTATCAGTGTAATACATTAGTTCAGAACATGGCTCTGTTATTTCTGGCTGTGTGGTTTTACAGTAGTCAGCTAATCTCTTTGTGCCTCAGTTTCCCTGTTTTGAAACAAATAATAAAAGAACCTTTCTCATCATATTGTAAGGATGAAATGATTTACTATTTAATTTTGCAAAGGGCACTTAGCTACAGCAGTCACTTATTAGCACTCAATAACTGGTAAAGAAGTGGCATGTGTTTACTGCAGCCATACACTCACAAGCTGGTGGGGATTGTGTTCCATAAGCTTCGCTGTTTGTTCGTGAGGATTGTTTCTCTGTCTTCCGTGTGCTGTTCTGATTTCTCCACTTTCCCTAGCCTTTTCCAGGCTCAAGTTCAACATTACCATATCTGCATTTGGAAATGGCTGTCTTTCATTCATTTTCTGCCTCTTCCAAGATTTCCCAAAATAATTTCTAAAAGAATTTTAGATAAAATTTTTATAGTTGCTTTCTTTTTAAACTGCAGAAAAGTATAGTGTAGTACAATGACTTGTCCAAATAGTCACACAGCCTGTTGATGAAGCTGGGCTGGAACGTAGAACTGATCAGACCCATCACCCCATATTCACTCACATCTGTGCTCTATTTTCACAAGATACTTTCTCTCTTTGAGACTCAGAAGTATCAACTTTTTGAAAGAGAAGATTATGAACATCATACTCTTAAAAATGTCTTTGTGAAGATAGCTCAAGATACTGGGAATTCTGTTTTAAGGTTTAAAAAGTATTTTACATTAGTTTTAGATACCTGAGTAAACATACTGAAAATGAAATAGATAAGGTGCTCAACTGTGTAATGGTAAATTACTGTCTTTGAGATGGTAGTATTTGAGTTGAGTTCCCTCTTTTCTCCAAGTAAAATATGTCCCCTCTGCTAGGTCCGCTTACTTGTTAGTGTTCATCTTTTTGAGAAACTTAAGATATTTTGAAGTTTTTCTTAAAATATATTCTGGAAACCTTCTGTTGTGTACCCACCCCAAAAAAGAAAAAAAATCATGTTTGAAATTTGATGAAGATTTCATTTAAGAGCAATTTGAGGTCTAGTGTCCATAACAGAATTTTTAAAATCCAGCTTGTCTTGTGTATATCTAAAGGAGCACAATTGGTGCTATAAATTTGTTTTAGGTTTGATGAAAGAGAGCAACAAAGGAATAGTGACAAGTCACTTAGCAAGTCTGTGGCAGAAGTGGGATTTGAACCTAGTGTCGTTGACTTGTAGGGCTGTTCGCAGTGTCAGAGGTCACAGTGTTCTAATGGTCTCAGCCATGGCTTTTACTCTCTTACTCATTTTGAGATGTGTTCTGGGAATCGGTATCCTGTTAAATCCCTCTTTGATGCATGTCCCATTTATTAGTATTGATTTCAATACAATGGACAGTAAATCTATGTGACCACACAAAGGAAATAGTAGGTTGGAGTTTCAGAGCTTAAAATCTCCATGTTTGAGAACTTTATTCAAATAAACTCATAATGTAAAATATTAATTTAAAATTTTTTTAAACCTAAAAGGAAAAAATGATTATGTGCCCTCTCTCCATTTTGATTACTGAAACCCTTAGGATAGTGTGGCAGCAACATTATCATACTAAAAATTAGTTGATTATTGAGGATCTTGAAAAAGATAGCCTGGGGTTGGTGAGTGTGGGGGGTGAGGCATGGAGGGAATGGATGGGTTTGATACCCAAGAGGTTACTTAGGAATCACACAATACTGCTTGCAAAGTTTACAGAACTGTGAATTTCAATGTAGAATTTTGTAGGCAGCATGCATTGACTAATATGCCTAATGGTAATACATCTAGTACTGAGTCTCAGAACAGGTCAATAATAATGTGTATATTGATAGCAGCAATGTAGGAGATGTTACTTGGTATTATAGCTAAAAATCCATGTCATCCCCTTAATCATAATTACATTAATATTGACAGGCCCTTGACAATACCCACATTATTATTGATAGATTTCTGTCAATAACATGTCTTTAAATAAAATATATTTGTTCATAATTTGTACGAATAAAAGCACTGAAGTACATCCTGAAACATTCCTCTCTTTAGTGAGATAGAACCAGTTGTGTTGGTTTTAGAATGAAATAGAGAAGACAGAGTTTTACTTTGGGGGAATGAAAAGTGTAAAAGGAAAACGAGTTATTTAAGGGATAAGATTATGTATCACTGCCCTTAGTAAACAAATTTTGGGGGTGGAAGGTTTCTGTGAAAGAAAACTAGTATGACATGTCTAGTAATAAAATGTCAGCAGAAGACCATCTTAATAGTTTTTACTGCTAGATCATTTTGTCTTAAACATATTTATGTGACAAGTTAATCATGCTAACCCTAGTAGTTCCTGTACTTATTTGGTCTTGATTGGGCCTTAAACATCATTTTCACATATCCTATCCTTCACTAAACACTACTATAATTTAATGCCAATTAATACTTTTAATTATTTTTATAAATCTTTTTGCTTTGTCATAAATGTTTTCCCCAGTGTTAGCCTTTTAGAATCTTAAGTTAGCATAGTTTGGGGATGATAAGAGTGATGGAGTCTATATTAAAGAAATGAGATTCCAGCCCTGGCTGGCATAGCTCAGTGGATTGAGCACAGGCTGTGAATCAAAGTGTCACAGGTTCGATTCCCAGTCAGGGTACATGCCTGGGTTGCAGGCCCTGACCCCCAGCAACCGCACATTGATGTTTCTCTCTCCCTCTCTCCCTCTCTCCTTCTCCCCCCTTCCCTCTCTAAAAAATAAATAAATAAATAAAATCTTTAAAAAAAAGGAAATGAGATTCCACAGCAAAATAGGGGGAAAAAAAAAAGCATTGCTTGTTTTTGGCATTCTGGAGAATTCAATTTGAATTAAATCTGATGATGTTTCTTTCTATTCAAAACAATCCCGACTCTTAAAATAAAGATTAATTTGTATTTTTTTAATATTTAAGATGGAGCCTACTTTTATGAGACTAGATACTAACCTCCAAGAAACAATAAATGTGGGTAGTGTTAATGTTTACATAAACTTGAAAGTAAAGTAGACCTGGACTGGCCAGGAGTGGGCGTGGAGAGCAGTTAGTGCAACAGCGTCAGGAAAGTATGGTTTATCAAATGACTTGGAGATTTTTGACTTGAAAATGTGTGTGTGCACCATAATCTTCTTTTTGAGTTTCATGGTTCTCAATGAAGCAAGTTAAATTACTTGGACTTTTCCAGAAAGTTTTAAGTCCCTTGAATTGTCAGAGGGGTCCTGTAACTGGTCTCCCTTTGTTCAGTCTTACTGAACTCTGCCATCAAATCAATCCTCTAAAATGTATATCCTGTTATGTCTCTTCCCATTAATGATTATTCATGCCTACAAAATCAACACAATCTTCTTAAAACAGATCTTTTTACACCAGGTTGACTCTTCATCCAGCCTCTCCTGCCAATCCATTCTGCTGTGGTCACAGCAAATGACTTGTTTCTTTGCTTCCACATAACAAGAGCAACCACACTGGTGGGGACTAAGTAACCCAGGAAGAAGCTCATGGTGGATGCCATCCCCATGTCAGACCATGACCAGGCCTCACGGCTTGCATGCTTCTGGGGTTTACACAGCCTGTTTCTTTGCCTTAACTACCGTTTTCCACTTTTCTGCCTGGGGGAGTTTTGTGTTTTCACATTTCAAGATTAATTCTTGGCTCAGACATCAACAATTAATCTTAATTACAGTGGCATCCTATTTCTTTAAATTTTTTTTAATAAAAAGAAGTTAACTGAGAGAAATATTTGGATCGAATCTCTGGTACCTCTGGAGAATGACTTGCATTTGGTAGGCACTCAGTAGCTGTTGGTTAAATTGAGTAGCCATTTGTGAGAGAATTAGAATTCATTAAAACACAAACTGCTTAATTATACAAGGAGAACTTTATGTAATTTAAAGTCACGACATTTTTCTGTGTTCCACACCTTATGAGCAAATATTGTACAGCCATGGAGGGTAGAAGTTTCATAATCAGATTAATTGAACTTGTAGTTATTTCACTTTCATCCATTTCTTCTGTAAGTATTCTAGAATAACTGCATGTGGCAGAAAGGGAGAGAGGAAAGGAGGAAGAATTGAATGTAGTGTGTTGGTGAAGAACAGAGATTATATGTTCGTCTTGGACTTTCTGTATCATACCCTGTGCAGTGAAGCACCCTAGAGTCAGATATTGACAATGTTCATCCCTGAGGGTTCTTTGCTTCCCAACCGCAGAAACAGCCATATTGGTGGGCATTAACTAACCAAAAAGACTCATCCTCATTCTCTCAGAATCCCCCTGCCTGGTCTCCTTCCAGACCAGATGATGTTTAAGAGTGTGATGAGACCACTGAGTTCTGTCTCTGCCCCTTCCTGCCTGCCCACACACATGTGCACATACTGGTGCCATCGTGTTCACGTCTGTCACAATTGTGTTTCAGTGCTGTTGTCTGTACTTCCTGGTTCAGTGAAGCATTTAGTACGGGTAATATTGAAGATTTCAGTCTTTTGAAATGAGATTTGCCAAAACAAACTGAGAGTCTTTTTCTTCTTATGCCCAGCCCCAGGCAAAGCAGAAATAATATAATAAAAAATACTGCTTTCCTATTTCTTAACCACTTTCATAACATTATCTAAGTTTAATCTCAACAACTTTGTAAGGTGGCTGTTATTTCCAACCTTATGAAGAATCTGAGGCTAATGACTTTTCTTAAGATCATATGGCAAATAAATGACAAAGCTAGAACTTGAGCCCAGGTCTGATTGGTTTTAAATATGCCTTTTTTATTTTGCCACAGACACCTAAATAGGCATTGTTCTGCTTTCAACATGGGTTGTGTAATACAGTGCCTGGTCTATGCTTACAACTAAAGAAGGTGACAAAAATAACTACAGTGTTGCAAAATAAAACCTAAAACAAAAAATAGAGAAACAGATTTTTCATCTGGAAGGGGAAAGGCTGAAGAGAAGTTTAATAATAGTCTGCTGGTCCAATGAAGAGTCTGAGGGCCCAGATGTTCTTAATCTGCAGGGAGGCCAGGTCTGGGTAGTAAAGGGGGAAAATGTTAAACTGTAACAGGAGGGATAAGAAAGAGTTTTGTAAAATACTGGGTTGGTTAGAGAGAGTGTTAAGTCTCTATTTCTGACAGATACCAAAAATTCCTATCTTTACTAAATCATCCTCAGTATGATTCCTCCAGAAGCAAGGGATTTCAAATAAATGACTCTCCTTAGTAACCACTCCCTGTGACCAGTTTCTCACTAAATATAAGTAAGCAACCTGAGGGAGAGAGAGCTTTCCTCCCCATCCCATTTCTGTAGGTGTTCTCACAGTATTCAGCAGGCACATTGAGGAGCTACCAGATCACTCATTCCATTGTATATTCATTCAGCACATTTTTTGAGCAGCTACTATGAGCCCATCTTTGTGGTAAACTCTCTAAGGTAATAAGCTATTCATCAGCCATAATCTGAGCTGATTGTGGCTCTAGTATTCAAAGATACATAAATTAGTACAAATGGCTTCTGTCACAAGCCACATATTTTGTCTTATACTCATCTGAAAAAAAATAGCAGTCCTTCCAGTTTAACATGGGGAAGGGGGAGAGGAGAGGAGCCTGGACTTACTGTTGGTGTCCAGTATGGTCAGAGATTTTCAAGAGCACTATGACAATCAAAGAGTTTCCTTTACCTTGCTGATCAAAGAATGTGAAGTCTGTATCGTAGACACTGTGTTACAGTAGACGAGTTACATATACCGTATCCCCACATATCACGAATGATTGTAGAATTTTGCATGACAAAAACTGAGCTAAGTATGAGAGTCACTGCGTCAGTGGCAGGTACTATGGGAAATAAATATAAGGTAAGGCTTTTCCCTTAAGTAGTTTATAGGCAAGTTAGAAGATGATGTGTTCACATGACTGAAATCACAGTACAAGTGGTTGAGGGCTCGAGTGCGTGTCACGGAGTTGCTATCACAGTTTAAAAATGGTGATAATGGGAATTGGGGATAGTTATGAATTTTGTGGAGAATTTTGCAATGGAGTTGGAATGTGAAGGACAGATAGGTCAGGGCATTGCAGGAAGTTGGTAGGTACATGGAAAAGACAGAGGCAGGACTGAAAGATGATCTGCATGCAAGGCTCCACTGGGGAATGACCGTTATATGATTGCAGGGGAGGAGACAGAGTTTGGCCTGGGTGGGTCTGTATTTAAAGAAGTTTGTACTTTACCCCAGGGGTAAAATAAGAAAGCAGTGATATGGTAAGTGTGGGGAACTAATTGTGTAGATTTTGGTTTGATTATGAGGTTTTTCAAATAATGTTTTAGTTTCTTCTTAGTCACATAAATGATATGTTACTTAGAGAAAATTTGTAAACTGTAGGAAAACTGAAAAAAATCTTACTGATGGTTTTGAAATTCTATGTATTGTCTTTGAGAACATGTGAAACCATCTACCTTTGTGGCTGTCCAATTTACTTGTTTCCTCCCTGCAGACTTGGTTGGGGGCCAAGATGAGTCTTTATCTGTGTATACCAAGCACCCTGCAGGGCTAGGGTGTATTGATGTGCATAGAGTTTGTGGAAGCCATGAATGGTCTCTAATTTCACAAGGACTACTTAACAGAAGAAAGGGAGCACCTGAGTCAGTGCAGTTTAAACAATTCCTCTGGATATAAGGATGAGAACAAACCAGGAATGAGTGGGTGGGCCAGCACACAACATTGAGCTGAATGGGTGCCAGATTATTTATGCCAAAATGTTTGTAAATTGTGGTTTGAAATGCTCTAGCCCTGTAATTGTCAACGTCACCAGGGAACGTGTTAGAGATACAAATTCTTGGCTCCTAATTCCAGGCCTCCTGATTCAGAAACTCTGGAACTGAGGCACCACTATCAAACAAGTCCTCTTAGTGATTCTGATAAGTGCTCCAATTTAAGAACTACTAGACCAGAAGAACAGGAGCCTATGGGACTCTGATGTTGAAGAACACAGCATAGAAAGATTGGAAGCCCAAAGATATGTGATATCAGTGAACGTAATCAATGAAATGCCATGGTAGCTGAAATAGGGAAACTATGAAAAGATAATATTGTTACCAAGAAACTTAAATGTGTTGTAAAATGGACAAGATCTATTTGTCTTGTGTGGATCACTGCTTCCCTGGTCTGAGCATTTAACTAGAATTAAAAGAGGTTAGTCCAGTGAGAGGGACCCCATGTTAAACCTCCCCACCCAGATTTTTTCTCCCATATTCACAGAAATGCCTACTGAACTTACCCACTTAGGTATCTGTCTCATAGGAGCCTCAGATCTCCAAAGTTACATGTATCTATTATCTTTCTCTTTAAACATATATCTCTGTATGTTTTCCATTTCAGAAGACTGGTACATTCTCTCAATTACTGGTATGATCCACTCAATTACTCAAATTAGTGTTTTGGGTTATTGCTCATGAAATCTTATCAGTTCTACTACCACTTCCTAGCTTTTGGAGGTAACTCTCTCTCCATCCCCACTGATACCTTTCCAATTTAGATCATCAGTAGTTAATCACTAGATCATTTTAATTATCATTTTAACTGGTCTCTGTGCCTACAGTCTTTCAGCCTCAAATCCATTCTCAGTGTGGCCAGCACAAGCTGTGTAAAATGAAAATATTATTATTTTCTTACAAACTATCCAGTGGCTGTCCATGACTCTCTTGATAAAATAAAGCTTTCTCAACTTGGCTTTTAGGGTCTTGAGGATGGGTCTCATGCTTTCCTTCCCAGCCTTATCTTTTGTCCTTACACCTCCAGTCCTTGTCACCTGCTCTTCCCTCTACCTGAACTCGTGTCCTTACCTTCCTTTACTGGCCTGACACCACTTACCTTTCAGTGGGTACTTAAGTACTGCCTCTCCGTGAAGCCTTTTCTGATTGTAAACATAATGCCCTGAATTTCCCCTTGCATATCACTTATCGTACCTGCTTGTAATTATCTGACATTTTAAATAACTCGCTCTTACCCAACTCATCATCCCGTTACATTATAGTCTCCACAGAGGTTGAGATGGTCCGTCTGATCTACCATTCTTTCACTCTCTCCTATTAACCACTAAGTAGCAGGTGCACAAGAAACACATGCTGAAAAAAGTAATAAGTAACAGTCTTGATGTGAGCATTTGAAATAGTTTAAATGGATGGGAATTTGTTTTTTCTACCATTCACCCATCCAAGACTTTTTTCTGTCCATTGATCCATCCATCTAGTATTTGTACAATACATCCTGTGTGCCAGGTGCTATACTGGTTGCTAAGATTCAACTGTGAAGACTCAAATTATCTTTGCAACAGGGCTTATCTTCTGTTGGAGGAAATCACCCATTAAAGAATAGTGTATGCACAGTTCAGCAAGGTCCAGAGGAAGAACAGAGTGCCAGGGAGCACCTAGAGGAGGCAGCTAACCAGATGTGGAGAGTCCAGAGGAAGTGATGCCTACCTCAGTGCTTAAGAACTTGGGGTGAGTTATCAGTTAAATAATGGGAATGTACTGTTCACAACAAAGGGCACAAGGAGTAAAATATTCCTTAGCTAGAGAAGGGGCACTTTATGATGAAGTCAAAGTATTAGATAGGCAAGCTGCTGGGGGTGATTCAGGGAGGCTTGTTTTCAAAGGGTTGCAGGGTAGGCAGTGCACTGAAAGAGTCAGAAAGTAGGACACACCTGTTAGATAAAATGTAGGGGAGAGGAGAACAGTAGAATTTAGGGGAAGGCTTCTGGGGATAGAGGAAAGAGTGGATTAGAAAACTATTTTGGACAAAGCACAGGCCTTGGGTATTAGATTTGCTGAAGGAGTGAAGAAAACTGTCCTGACCCCCTTTTTTCTCTCCTGTAGTTCCTGACCAGTATGAAGCAAGGATTTCACAGAAGAACTTACAGCCAAAATCCCCACTACTATAGGCTTAGAAGTCTTGACAGAACTACAGGAAGGGGGAAAAGGTGAGATCACCCAGAATAGGTGAGAAGCATTCCTGTCATAGACCTGGTTTGGGAGAAAAAAAAAAAAACAAAAAACACTAAACAACCTATTATTTAGCAGTCATTTTTGTTTCTTGTACTTGAACTTCCTGACCCCAAATCATCTGGGATTCATGGGTAATTAAAATCTTCTTTCTAGAAAAACTCCCTCATTGTAAAGATATGGCACTTTTAAAATGAACAATTTTATTTTAGGATAAACTTTACAGTCATTTTAACTCCTAAGAAATTACACTTAACATCTTTTTAATAAAAATCATAAAGTAATAGTATTTGATAGGCCTTGGAGGTCATTTTGTTTTCAGCCCTTACTCTGTAAGTAAGGAAACCAAGGCAGAGATAGGCTGAAATGACTGGTCTAAGATCACATGGCCAGTGGTGGCAGTGAACTTCAGCAGGATCACCACCTCTCTGTAATTTGGTGGTGTTTCTGATAGTGCGTCAGGCCTTTCGAAGGCCTAGAGGTCATGATCAAGTGCTTTGTTTGAGGGCCCATTTTAGAAACTAAATTTAAACAGGTTTTGTATCATTGTCTGGATTTTCAAGTTCATTGATAAAAGTGTACAGTGTCGAGGCACCATTTGATACTGGCTTATATGTAGTTGGCATGTAATAAATGCATTTGGAATCAGTAAGTCATGCCCAGCAAACCATTAACTAGCTTTCTCTCTTTCATTATAAAAACTTTGTGACCCTTTAGAGTTGATTTGTTTCCTCAGTGTATTTGTGAAATGATCTTAGACCATATTTTGACATCATAGTTTTCTTTTATTAGAAAGTGTATGATATACACCTTTTTAGTGCCTTAATAATGACATTTCTACATTCATATTGCTGTGTGCTAGTGTTTATTTTTCTGCAGTTGTGTGACAGAATAATAAACACTTATTGTTCATTACTTTTTTTCTCCTAACCTTCCTTTGTGAATAAGTAGGGGATTGAGTGACTTATGGAAAAGCATACCTTTGGAGTCAGTAGAAGTGCTGGGTATTAAACTGAGATCTTGATTTACTTACTATTCATTGCAGTGTTCATTGCATATGGCTCATTGTATTTATTAAGTGCATATATTTCTCCATCAGCCATGTTCTTATTCAGCCTCAGCACTGTTATTATCTCCCTGTTAAACTGTCTGAGCAAGGAGGATTACATAGAGGTATACTTGTAGCAGTAGGATGCAACTTGCTAGAACCTTTGGTGAGGAGGGCCAAATGAAAAAAAGAAAAACACAAAAGAAAGGAGGGAGGGAGGACAAGCGAGAAGAAAGAGAAATGAGTTCAAAGTAAGAAGTGACAGTTCAGTGCACTCTTTTTACACCATGCAAAGTCCCATCCTGTGTGTGGCCTGTCTCACAGTTTTCCGGGTGTGAGTTGTGGAGATGGTACAAATGCTCTACTGTCTGACAATGTTTCCTAACTGTGCTTTTTCCTAGAGCCCTTTGGAGAAGGCATGGCTTCCAGAGAAGAGACTGCAAAGAGCACACACAGGGTGCTAAGGATAAGTCAGTTGGATGCACTTGAATTGAATAAGGCCTTGGAGCAGCTGGTGTGGTCCCAGGTTACTCAGTGCTTCCATGGGTTTCAGCCAGGGCTGTTAGTTCGGTTTGAACCTGAGCTAAAAGCCCTCTTGTGGCTTTTTCTATGGCGATTCACCATTTACTCTAAAAATGCAACTGTGGGACAGTCAGTTTTAAATATTCAGTACAAAAATGATTTTTCTCCAACCCTGAGATACCAGCCACTGAGTAAAAACCAAAAGCTCTGGTATGCTGTCTGTACAATTGGTGGGAAGTGGTTAGAAGAACGGTGCTACGATTTGTTTCGAAATCATCACTTAGCATCATTTGGGAAAGCCAAACAGTGTGTGAACTTTGTGATTGGACTTTTGAAATTAGGGGGATTGATTAACTTCTTGATTTTCCTCCAAAAGGGCAAGTTTGCAACTTTGACAGAACGTCTCCTAGGAATGCGGTCTGTATTTTGCAAGCCCCAGAATGTGCGTGAGGTTGGCTTTGAGTATATGAATAGGGAGCTTCTCTGGCATGGTTTTGCAGAGTTTCTCATTTTTCTCTTACCACTCATCAACATCCAAAAGTTGAAAGCCAAGTTATCTTTGTGGTGCATCCCTCTCACTGGTGCTCCTGATGGTGACAGCTCATTAGCCAGTAGCGGAAAACAGTGTGCTCTGTGTGGAGAGTGGCCCACCATGCCCCACACTATAGGCTGTGAGCACATCTTCTGCTATTACTGTGTTAAGAGCAGTTTCTTGTTTGACATGTACTTTACTTGTCCTAAGTGTGGCACTGAAGTACACAGTGTGCAGCCACTGAAATCAGGAATTGAGATGTTAGAAGTGAATGCTCTTTAGAAACTAAAATTATTTCCTTTGAGGAAAACTGTATTATGTTTAAATCTATAGTATTATTCACCCTAATATACCAATTAGGTGTCTTTAATGAGAGCATGTGCTTCTTAGCCACCTTTCTGCCCTTGCCAAGCATGTCTAAAATCTAATCACTGGAATTCACAGGATTCAAAATATATTCTGTAGATGGTAATGTAGTATTTTCTTTAATGATTGCATTCAATTTTTAATGTCAGGAATAATGGACAGTTTTTGTCAGATGACTACTAACAATGTTCCTTCACTTTGCTACTTCCTAGAAAAAGGTTAGATTCTAAAAATAAAAGGTTTTGAAGACCTTGGGATGATCATGCATTTATTTTCAGAGATGGTATTATAACATCATAATCTGACAGTGGTACGACCCTGTTGCTTTGAATCTTCTGATCTGATGGCCCAGTTGTAATTTTAAGCTTTTCCCTGAAGCCAGTTTTTAAAGGGTTCAGTTGACTCCCTTCTCAGGCAGAATGATGGCCACTAGAAGCTGAAGATTTACATCCTATATGCTTTCTGATCCCGCTAGAATCAGAGCTTCTTGCCTCAAAGCTCAGCAAAATCCAGAAGTCAGCTGTCATTTGTCTGCCTGGGATTGTGTGCACATTCCTGAGCCAGGAAGGAAAATTTCTGCTCCTGATGATTCAAATATGGATGACATGCCCTGATATAAACCATGTGAACCTAAAGTTGGAGAGGAGGAGGCAAAGCATAGGAAGCTGAGGTGATGGTACAAGAACAGTGGGTTATGGTCTGGTAGACATGATAGGTCCCTCCTAGAGTCACTGTTACCCTTCTTAATACCCAAAGTCTATGTGCATTCTTAATATTTTATCAGTGATCTATTCTGATAAAGACATGAATGAGTGACCAAATGGTGGTCTTCCATTGCAGATATGAAAGGATTAAATAAAGTCAACGAGATTTTGTTACACTAACAATTTTGTTAGTATTATTTTGATAGTAGAGTGAATTCTGAGATGGTGCCCATGTTGTCATACTTTTAACATGAAAACACTGTACTTGACATGTGTGCTAACAGTTGTCTAAGGGAGCTTTTTTCCTACAGATCCTAATGGTTCAATATATATTTTTTTACTTTTTTATTTTTATTTAACTACCGCCACCCTAGCAGGTTAAATGTCACAAATTTAACCTCTGTGACAGGGACTGCCTTTTGCTCATCACTGGAGAACCAGAGCCTATCCTTAGTTCCAGTGTACCAGTACAGACACTTCATTAGCCAAATGACTAACCCCAACATCGCAGATTGGGTTCTGTAGGAGTGGGTGTAAAGGTGTTTGAAGTGCAAGACAGCCTTTAGGGATCCTCACCTGTGAAAGGAAAAGACAAAGAAGCAGGAGTAAGTAGAAAGGAAAGAACTATGGTGCAAGCCTGACAGCCTTGGTGAACCCGGAGGAGAGCTGTCTGTCCCGGATTGTCCTAGATTGATTATCCTGGTTTGGGCCCAAGTCATCAGGCCTTTTTACCTATTTTCTCAGGCACCGGGTATGGGTGTGACCCCTCCCCACAGCTGTGCCACAGTCCATCCTTGAAGGGCAAGGTGGATGGCTATTTTCACATGTATCAATATTCCCTCTTCATTGTTTTTCTTTCCAGTTTCCCTTTTTTGTTTGTCTTTTTTATAAGTATATCTGGCAAACAACATACTGGTAGTAAGTAGTGTTCAACTTAGAATGGACGGTTATGACTGGTATTGTTTATTCGAGTGCTGCCTCCAGGAACTCCACCTCACTACAAGAGACCCAGGCCTGCAGGCCAGCTTGCTGTGACAGCCCCGACTTCTTCATCCCCACCCTCCTGTGCAATTCCTGGAGACTTGCTTCTGTCCCCATTTCCCAGTGGTCTTGGTGCTCACGGTTCAGGATAACTGGGTCATATTTAGCCACATGATCTGTTTTCACTTTAGCCTCAAGAACCTCACCATCAGCTATGCACACATCCCTTAGGAAAACAAGAAGTACACTAACATCTATCTTTTGTCTTATATACAACTTGTTCTCAAGTCAGGTTTGCTACTAGTGTCTTTTGTGTATCCAAGTGCTTCAGGGATCGTATCTAAAATACTAGTCTATCCATCAAAGCTAATACAGGCCTGTCCAGCTCCCAACTCTCCCACCTTCAGTACTATGTGACTGTGGGTTTCAGACAAGTTTGTTTAACTTCTCAGAGATTCACTTTGAACAGCCTATGAAGTGGGTATTACACAGATGTGTTAGGACTATAGTGGGAATTAAATAACTTTCAAAGTTCAAAAATTAGTTTTCATTCTTTCAAAAATTACTTTTTTAGCCCACAGAGGCATTTTCTGTACTCAGATGCATTCATGGAAAAAAAAACAAAATGCCTGCTCTCATGGAGTTTACATTCTTGGAGAGGTAATGGACAACAAACCCACATTAAGATCATTTCACAGCCCTGGCTGGTGTAGCTCAGTGGATTGAGCACGGGCTTCGAACCAAAGCATTGCAGGTTTGATTCCCAGTCAGGGCACATGCCTGGGTTGCAGGCCACATCCCCAGTGGGGACCACATGAGAGGCAACCACACATTGATATTTCTCTCTCCCTCCCTTCCCCTCTCTAAAAGTAAATAAATAAAATCTTTTAAAAAAAAGATCATTTCAGATGGAGGTACTCTGAAGACATTCTGAAGAAAATATAACTGACTAGGAGATTGGAAAGTGACAAGGGATTCTGTTTTGAATTTGGAGCATGCCCTTGGAAGGTCTCTGAGGACCCAAAATTTGAAGAGAGATACAAATGCACCCTGGCCTGTGTGGCTCTGTTGGATTGTCATCCAGTAACCAGAGGGTTGTGGGTTCAATTCCCATTCAGTGCATGTGCCTAGGTTGTAGATTTGATCCCCAGTCTGACACCGAAGGCAACCGATTGATGCTTCTGTTTCACATCAATGTTTCTCTCCCTTCCTCTCTTCCTTTCTCTCTAAAAGCAATGAAGAAATGTCCTCAGATGAGGATAAAAGAAATCTGAAAGCAACAAGGGAGAAAGCCAGGTAGGGAAGAGTGCCAGGATGAGAAAATGGCAGGTGCCCCAACACTGAGATGAGCCCGTTGCCTGTTGGAACAGCAAGAAATCAAGAGTGAACAAGAGGGGGTGAGAGGGGGGTTGGGAGGAAATGAAGTGGGTAAGGAGAGGGGCCAGGGCCAGGCCCTGCAGGCCAGGCTGAGACCATGCCTAGATTTATTCTAAGTATGAGGAAGCCACTAGAAGATCTAAACAGAAAAATGACATATTTTCATTTTTAAAGAGTGACTGGGTGATAGTGGAGAGAAATGAGTAAGAGCAAGAAAATCAGGTCAAAGGCTACAGCAAATAGTTGGTTTGAGCCATGACTGTTGCTGCTATTCAGATTGTGGTACGTTAACAACGTCACTCTCTGACATGGTCAGAAACCTGGAAGTTAGCCAAGCCTTGAGAAACCAGAATAGATGTGTATAAATTCCATATACCAAAGCTCTACTGATGATGTTCCTCAAGTTTTCACTTGGACGATTCTTCACTTTGAACAGAATTCTAGTGAACTTTCACCAAGAAGTTAAAAGATAGAGGGAGAAAACTAGTAAAAGCAGGTATGTTTATAATAAAAACTATTAGAAAACCTTGTATCAACTAAAAATAACTTTTAAAAACCTATAATCTGATAACATTTAATGACACATGGGATCTGAGTACTAACAGAATAGTAATTGTGGCTTAAAAAATGACCTTGCATCACCAATAAAAGTAACCTTTTATATTCTGTATCATTTGAGTAAGAAGGCAGGGATATGAGTAGTGCTGTATTTGAGGAAACCTTCAAAATGTGTTGGCAAAAATGTGATTCATCTGGGACATTTGCTTTTGACAAAAAGCTGTTTGTTTTAACAGCACTCGATACATGAAGTGTTGCTATATGAAGAAAATACATTTCCAGTAACAACAATTCCAAACATACTTTTTAGCCAAACCAATCAACCATCTTGTCCGTGGAACCGATGCTCAATGGTTTTTTGAAATTGAAGCTAATGTGTAGTGTGTGTTTATATTCACCACAAGTGAATATAAACAAGTATTTTACTTGTTCATCTGTTTTGTTTTTTTTGTGAAAAAATACATAAATGCTGAAATGAGAAAATATGCCTACAGGTTTCCAGGTTGTCTTTTATTTCAAATTTTCAAGGAAAAGCTTATAAAAAGCTAAACCCTGGCTGGCATAGCTCAGTGGAGTGAGCGTGGGCTGCGAACCAAAGTATCGCAGGTTCGATTCCCAGTCAGGGCACATGCCTGGGTTGCAGGCCATAACCCCCAGCAACCGCTCATTGATTGTTTCTCCCTCTCTCTTTCTCCCTCCATTCCCTCTCTAAAAATAAATAAATAAAATCTTCTAAAAAAGAAAAGAAAAAGCCTATGATTTAAAACTCATTTTAAAAAAAGCATTATTTTATACATGGCCTTCATGGGATCCTGCCTTGAGTTGTTATTCTGCCAGTTAAAACAAGTCAAACAAGGTTGAACCAAGTCCCTCCCAAGGCAGGAAATCCAAAATACAGTACCTAATAGGTAGGTGTCAATGAATGACTCTCCTTAACAGTAGAGTAACCTTGTCATCAACAGATTCAACTCATTCCTTTGCTGAAATCCTAGAACCTTAATTAATTTATGTAGTTAAGCTGATTTTAAAGTTAGATGTTTGTGGACATGTTTATATACATTGACCTTAAGAATTTACCTCAAGGAACTGATAAGAATTTGGATGTAGATTTATTGAAATGCTGTTCAGCATGGCACCATTCATAATAAAGAAATTAGTAACAATAATAAATAAAGATGAGACACAATACAAGTGCTCAACCACAGGGGAATGAACAAAAATAGTATAGCTATTTAATGGACTAAAAAAAGTCGTCAAAATACTATGGGAAATAATGTTACATAAAAATATATATGAATACTTTTAATAAGATGGGAAAGTACAATATAATGTCAAAGTGAGAAGTGGGATATTAAGTGCTCTATGATCTCAGCTATGAGATATACAGGCACATACATATGTTTATAATAAATGTCTTGATTTTTTCTTTACATTTTCTATATTTCCCAAATTTTCTGCAATAAGCATGCCATACTTTTTAATTACACCAAAACAAGTTATTTATTTTAAAATCTGAGGGCCAATTTTGTTTCAGCTGAAAGAAAAATCTGCATAGCTTACAAACAAGTCTTTTAAATATGTGAATTTAGGACACAGAAAATCCTAAAAACCCTTTAATTCCTATTTGTATTACAATAGAGCCTGCCTTTATGGCCCCTCATAACTTGAAAAATTATGAATTATCTCATACATTCTAAGTTATATATTAAGTCTGATTCCATATAATATATACATTTTTAACCACTTAAGGCAATGAAAAGGTAAAAAGTTCCCACTCCATCTTCCAAAAGTATTTGTAAAGTATAAATAAAAGTGCAGTATTTATAAGTGTGTTTTAGTTACTTTAAAATATCTAAAACTAGTATACCACATCAAAACAATTGACATGAATACTTTGCCTGGCCTATAAAATTACAATATTTCCTCAACTAAGAATCAAGACATAGGCTTTGGTTTGACCCAGGATTTTGTATGCCTGCCAAATGTGGACACAAGAATGCTGACTTTTCTGAGGTATTTTTATGGTTCAGTTGCACCAATAGGACATAATGCAAACTTGAACTTCAGCTGAGACTATTTAAATAGTCATAAATCTGAATTAGTGGAGCCAGGGCCTTTACTGTTCTGAGAGGTGTCTGGGATGGTTCCCTGTTAAACAGATCTCACTAAACATTCAGAAATGTTTAGCATCCTCTCCTAAAAGCCTCTTTACTTAAATTCACATCAATTTGTAAGAGTGTCTTTTTAAACAAAAATTATAAAAT